TATGGAGATTATTAAGTTTTTGACTGAGATCATGAACCAATTGATGTTAGACTACCATTGAAAACCTTGAAGCATTGGACAGCCGTTTCGTCCTATTGTGTGACTCCTCAATAGGAAGAAACGGCCGTCCAGTGCTTCCAGGTTTTCAATGGTGGTCTAATATCAATCGGTTCGTGATCTCAATAATAACATGATGTTTACACAATTTACTTTGGAATTTGTTGTTTTACATATTTTTGAAGTGATTTAGACGAAACAGAGGAAACTTTGAATTTTAACTTCTTCTTCGATTGTTCATCATTTGTACTTGGTTCGTGACCAATATTAATCATTTCCCATTTTAGTATGACCCATTTTTGCAAATATGACTTTCAACGTAATTAAATATGTAGTGTTACATTTATTTTGAAATGTAATGATTATTTAATAATCTTAGATGGAGAGTGCTGGTGGGCGGTCTATACTCCTCCACGAGGAGTAACAGGCGTAATTAAGTTAGTAAGTAATCTCGGATCTATATTGATGAGGAATCCTATGTAGTAGACCGAGATCTTACTCCGTTTGGATTATAGGATGATTATTATTGAAATATACATATCTCCAATCCTTGCATAGAATTATCAACTTAAATCGCGTTAGTGAATGATGGAATGAAATAAGTCAAATACAAGAATGACCATTGAATCTATGTATCTCATACAATAGTTGATTTGAAAACAGACAATCAGAGTTAAAACCATGGGAGCGACGAGGAAAAAGAGGAGCGAAACCAAGTGATGCTCAGTGGAGAAGGAGAGTGAGCCAACTTCATTTAATCAAGCGTCGATCGATATTTCTAGTCAAACAAAAATAAGTTACAGATATGTGATGAGTAAGTTAGGAAATGCACACACACACATACGCTTACATAAAAGCGGTCAGGGTTGATTGGCAAGTAACTAACAAGGTCAAAATGTGACTCCACAAGAAGGAATAGATTGGCCTGTCTGGAAGCTTTAATAAGCTATGTGTGCCTAACATAGCAACCGACACTACATCTATACACAGTAGTCTGGTGCTCCCAAAATTTGAATGATATCCCATATAAGGTTGATTTTGAACAAATTCCATCTGTGAATTAAATTACTTTCCAAAAACACTCTAGATCTAAATTATGTATATTAATGTAAAGATTTGATATTTATATCGTTTAATAAGGAAGGAATAGTCTTAGTATAACATCATGAGATTGCATAATTAATCAAATCTGTATATCAATGTATATCACGTTACTAGGAATTGACTTATCTAAATTTAGTAATTTCCAAATGAAATATCTAATTATTCATCTAATCATAATACTGTATTGAATAACAAAAACATATTTAAACAAAGATGGATAGTGGTTAGCATTGGAATCTAGGACGCATGTTTCATCCTATTTGGGACTTGTCAGATGGATGTACTTGCATCTCAAATTTGATGTTCACTCTGGGACTCGAACCCAGTACCATTCGTTTTAAAGGCTGGGTTCGCTTAGGTACTGGAGTGAACATCAAATCTGAGATGCAGGTATCGCCAGCTGACGTGTCCCGAATAGGACGAAACGCGCTTTCTGGATTCCACTGCTAACCATTACCCACCTTTGCTTATAATGCTTGTGAGTTTAGGCAATATCGGGGCAATCCACACAGGATGTATATATGCCAATAAGAGACTGATCAATTGTAGTCCTAAATAACTATCGGAAGATTCAAGTATACAATACTAAGTGAATTTAAAAACATAATTAGATTGATTATATGAGGGTAATATTTCAGAGAGTTTTTATTAAAACTATTTAAATCTTGACCCATTGTTGATGAAACTGGATAACTACACAGTCTATATAATGCACCATATATGTAAACTGATCATACTGTAGTGAACAGAACACGGGTGGGGACAATTGCATGTACTTAACATAGAATTACAGGACTTGTTAATAAAATCTAACAATCATAAGGTGAATGCTCAATTTGCAAAATGTCCATCAATTGTCTCAAAATGACTCAGATTTCATTGTTCTTGCACTTTCATACCAATTGCATTCTGTTTCCATTCTTTACTGTTTGATCCTCTTGTCTCTCTGCTGTCAGACCTTCAGTTCATGACTAACATCATATACTACTTACGTCAATATAAGTAGCACGCACCACAATACAATTCTATTACTGGCTATTTATGTAAATAGGATAATAATTGTATTGTTATATTTGAAAATGCTCATTTGTACAAATAATAACTTTGTTACTTCAGAGAAGTCTTGAAGGTAGACTTATTAGTTACCAATTCACTATACTACACAAATCTATTTCCACTGATGCCCAACTCTATCCACTGAAGAAACATTTAGTGGCAGGAAATGGTCGAGTGAAGCTTAATTACTAACTACTGTCAAGACAGTATCATGTGAAGAAGACAATCAACTAAGAGGATAAGTCAGATTGGAATGATGATTATATCAAACTCCAGACTAACTACATCATAGATTAAGCAGGTTATTGGGAAATATGGATTTCAGCTAGCAGTAGAACTCAAAAACGTTGATTTTGTTCTATTTGTTACTAGTTATCTTGATCCACTTTCATCCCACTATTAGTGTTGATTCTGAAAATCAAGCACATTAATCCAATATCTAACTGTTTTTCTAGTGAAACCGGTGTCAACAGTTATCGATATGCATCTTTACAAGTAAATGTATGTCGGTACAGTTGACAATTAAATGGTATTCTTGAAGTCAAAGACGAATAGGGTTGCTAATTGTTCGGCATAAGATCTTTCAAAGTTGAAACAGTTATTTTCATAGATGATTTTCAGTTTTTCCCTCTTTTGTCTTCCCATCTTTATGTTTGCGTCAGATTTATTGAAGTAATTTTGTTATTAACAATTATTTCAGAAGTTCCTAATTGTCTTGAGATGGCATTACTGAATGCTTTTAATCCACTTGACCTAAGACATTTAGCGATATGTTATTTTAATCGGACATAGGCTCTCATTTCCATTCTACCGATGTAACTACTTTGGCAGATACATTTAAAATTATATACAGAGTTGGTAGTACCATGTAAGGTATACCTACCGACCATTGCTTATGTTCGAGAACATGTTGGTTTGGACTGGACAATCAGTTTAGCTGCAGGATAAGTTCGTGTTAATGCAGTTTAGAGTCTCATATTGATTGACCCTGTGACATCATTGCCTTTGCATTTAAGTTAAATGAAAATACGTTTTTTATTGACTGTAGTTTTATTGAGTTTTGTATATTTCTCAGTAAATTTCAGTGGATATCCGTTGTTCTAATTTAACATTCATTGATTCCTCTTCTATTGTATCTCCAGTACATATTCTTTCTGTTCTGTGAAGAAGTAGTGTTTTGTAACTGATTGAACAAAAGCTATTGGAATCGAGATAAATTCCATTCCATGTGTCTTTCCTATAAACCAAACGTTGAATTCTGTCATCCTCCCTTCGTTTTACTGAGATACTCAGAAAATGGAACTTGTTTTCATTTTCATTTTATATATTAAAGTGGATATTTGGATTGGCTTCGTTGAAACGTTCTAGCAGATTTGTTGTATTATAAGTAAAGATGAGTAGTGGATAGCAGTGGAATCCAAGACATGCGTTTCGTCCTATTCGGGACTCGTCTGTTGGATATACCTACATCTCAGAATTGATGTTCACTCTGGGACTCAGTACCACTGCTAGCCCCTATCCATCTTTGCTTAGAATGCTTGTAAATTAATGCAATATCGAGGCAATACGCACACTATGTACATGTGCCAATAAGCGACTGATCAAATTCAATCCTAAACATCAATGAGAAGATTCAAGTAAACAATACCAAGTGAATTAGATTTGTCATGTGCTTTTGATTATTACCTACAATGAATGTACCTTCAACATACATTTTTTCGAGGTTAGCTATGTAAATATCTGCTAGGACATGACCTAATTGACTTTTCATTGCTACACTATCAGTTTGTCGGTATATGACATTATTGAACTGAATCTAAACATTTTTTGTAGACATGATTAACAGTCGTTTGGATTCTGATACTGGTAAAAGGAGAATGTCAGAATGCTGGCTGAAGGCTGCAATCATTTTCCAGCTCTGTGTTCAATTGAGAAATTAATCCACCAACTTCAGTCACATCTCCAAAGGATGAGTGATTCCGCAGCTGTGTGCGTAATTTGACCAAGAACTCCAACTGTCTCTCAAATAGCATCTGTAATCGATCGGAAGGGAGAGTCACTTTTTGAATCAGCACTGGTAGTGAAAAATACTGTATGAAGAATTACCAACCAATGTCTTCCAAAGGAAAACCGATGATAAATCTGGATGCTGATTGCTCGAAATAATTAAACTGAGTTTCATTCAAATACAAGCTGACTTTGGATCGTATATGCATATTTAAAAAAACCTGTCGCCAATTGTTATAACTTGTGACCGACAATTAGGGACTTAACACACATTAAAATCTGGATGGTATCTAGTTCTCCTGAAAATCGATATAAAATCACTCTAACCCACAATTGTAATATTGTAGTGAACGACTATCATCACCTAGTGTTTATGTCAGTATAAGGAGCACACACCACACCGGTATCCAGGTGTCTTTCCTATAAATCGAACGTTGAGTTCTGTCATCCTTCCTTTGTTTTACAGCGATACTCAGAAAATGGAACTTGTTTTCATTTTCATGTTCTATAGTAAAGTGGATATTTGGATTGGCTTCGTTGAAACGTTCTAGCAGATTTGTTGTATTATAAGCAAAGATAGATAGTGGATATCAATGGAATCCAGGACACGCGTTTCGTCCTATTCGGGACTCATCAGTTGGATATACCTACATCTCAGAGTTGATGTTCACTCTGGGACTCATCACACACCACAATATTATATAAATACCTATTTCATAACCAAAATATTTCAAAATTATTTTTCTCTTATTTTCTTTTAATTCTCTTCTATTTAGTTATTGAAAAACAATCATTTTACAAATCATGGAAACAATTAAATTCTAGTTTAGTAACTATTCAATCATTAAATAATATAATAGAATTAATTCGATGGTCAGAAGTTTTATTAACATTAGCGAAATTAGCTAGTTCAGCCATAGCAACCATGTTTGGATTAATTTACTTCTCTCTGGTAAGAATTAAACACTTTGTTTGTTTGTTTGTTTGTTATTAACATTGATAATAATAATGTGGTGTATGTTTTATATGTTGATAGATATAAGTAGTATCAGAAGTGGAATGCCTGATAGTAGGAAAACTGAGAAGATCTAATTAAAGAGAATAGAAAGGGTAACAGAGAGAAATTCGAATGATAGATCACCAATGTAGATGATCAATGTCAAATGATTGTGGGCCGATTACAGTTAGATGGGAATGGTATGACGAATCAAATAACGTTGAAGTCACACCTCAAGGTCAATACCTTACGTGGATTACCGCATCACTGTATCAGGATACTAGAGATACTCTGAAGACTGTACAACATAAAGGACGTCATTACAGAAATTTATTATTTAAAGTAGATACAAGCGAAAGTATGACCACCGTTGCATGGGCCAGTCCATGGCGTACGATTAACTGATGCGCGTTGAGTGTCCTTAACCTTGACAAGGATCGATGATCTGATCGATATTCAGTGACTTAACTGCATGATGATTTGATTAGGGCTCAGTGATATTTCACTGGCCCTACAGAATAAAAACAGAATTGTATGAATTATGAGGTATGTAAAGGAGAACTAATAAAATATGTGCAAATAATGTATTTAATGTATAGTGTGGTCGTCGGTATTCAATATAATCCCTAAACTTTGTATACCATTCGTCCTAATAACCGTCACTTGATAACGCCTCAACAGTGTATTAAACAGAAGATGAATACGAAGTGTTGATTACGTTTATTATTGCATCACGCACAGATCACCAAAATCATAGGTACGTTACACAAGCATGAAAGAGTAGTGCTGAAAAGCAAGCGGACAATTAAGTGAGCGAGTAAGCGTGCGAGTCGAATGAGCAAGTCAATGAACAGGATCAAAATGTATATATGTATTACATAGTGAGATGGATGAATCATCGAATCAATTAAGCGACTACTGTGATGAACCAGTCGAGCTATACTGGCTGGAACAATCGTTCCTCAAGGTCTTACCATACCAGCCAGGTCGGTTGAAGAATGGTAAGACTAAAATCAGCAAATCCAAGGTGCGATGGCGAAGTTATACTGTTGACTGTTCAGAGGTGTGACGGCAGTAAGGTTTTTCCTTCAGACAATCAGCACAACAGCAATGCTGCCTTCCTCCTCAAGTGTCACTCTAGCCAACGATTCTAGTGCGCAGAACATTGTGCCAAGTCTACTGAACCCTCGCTCCAAACTACACATTGGAGCCTTCAACGTACACACGCTATGTCAAATCGGTCAACAGACCTCCTTAGCTGAAACCCTAGGATCTGAGCCATGTTGGTAAATGCAGACAGCTTGGTTGAGGTGCGCGTGAATATCGTAACCAATGGTTGGAGACTCTGGATGACATGTCTCAGGATCGATCACAATGGCGTCTGTCTTCCCTTAAACTATGAGATTAAAACTGCTTTATATCTTTCTTTCTGTCAACTAATTCTTTCTTCCTGTATTATATCCTTATACAAAATCTTTCCTTTATACATTACTACTATTGTTATAACTACTTTTATGAATTCGTTGTTCATCTTGTTGTGCTAATGAGGTATGGCAACTTGGACCGATGCATATATGTGCCTAGTTCTACGTTGTAGCTGACTGAATGACTGATTTAAATATACTGATCACTCAAAGGTTACGCGTTTTATCCGCTCAAAATGTTGGACACCATTCTTAAAAATGTGAAGTGAAGTCTTGTGAATAATCGTTCGATTACTGAATATCTGTTGATAACTAACCTATTACGTAATACTAATCTTATCATATTCGTATAACCAGATTTGAAATGTACCTTTGGGCAATAGAAATTTAATCTCATTAGCTACAATCTCTCTATTACTTTGATCAAAGAAAGTAGAATATATTACAACAAAAAATACACTCCAAAACATGATATTATGGATTAAACTAGGCTAATCAATATGGAAAAAATTATATTAATGACATAAGAAATCGGTATGAGATATTGACTTTTGAAAATAGAAATACAGAATTATCAATATTTTGACAAGGATTAAAGATTATACATAGTGAGAAAGGGATTTTTTGGAGATTGAAACTAGACCACCATGGAATATCTGGATGCACTGAACGACCGTTTCATCCTAGGATCTCGCTGAGCGGGACTATGGATGCGCACTGCTGAGGAGTCCCATACTACGATGCCTTAGGTCATAAATAACAATGGAAAGATACAAATAAACAAACACTAAGTGAATTTAAGTCTGGTTGGTAGTTGAAAGAAAAAGATTAACAAATGCTTACAAAGCACTTGTGTGTTTCTTTCCTTCACATAATCTTTTGTGCTATATATATATATGACGACTAGTGTTGAGATGGATTTCTTCAAGTTATAATACAATGATGTGGTCCATCAAATAATCTTATTCAGTAGTAAGACAACAATTCAAGAAAACGATCTGACTGCATTATAAGTCCCATCTAATCTAAAAAAATTATCTAACACTGACGTTCATCCATCAAATACACTATTGAACTGAAGAGTCTATATTCCTTCCTTCAGTTATTCTTCAACTGATATCAATTTATCACGTCAAAAATTATATTATCATTAAATGAATATTTAATGACCTGATATCTGACTCCATTTGGATTGTATGAATGTTATTGAGGTACACATGTCGGTGATCCTCGTATATTTCATCGATTTAACCCGCATTATTGATATATATGTATATTGTACAATCATTGATTCAAGCAGACGATCAAAGGAACAAAACACAACGATGCTCAGTGAAGAAGGCATGTGAACCAACTCCTTTTAATCAAGCGTTAATCAATATTTTATAGCCAGATAAAAATAAGTTACATGTAGTGAATAGGATAAGCAATGTACACACTCACACAGGCTCATAAAAAAAAGCACACTCAAGGTTGATAAGTGGAATAATTAACAAGATCATAATGTCGCTTAAGAACAATGGATAAATTGACTTGTCCAAAATCTAGAATAAGTTAGTATTATAGGCTTAACATAGTAACCAACACTATCAATCCTTCAAAAACGTTAAATCTTTGAATAAATAAAAATCAACTGATAAGTTGATCAAATATGAATTGAATTTATTCATAGGATCACAATTAGAACATACAATGAACACATTTATTCAACAATCTGTTGTGTGTGTGTGTTTTTTTTTCTCTCGATTATTAATTGTTCTCCTTTTTCTTCTTTTTTTTTTCTTCTCTATATTTCTCTATAATTTCCCTTCTGTTTAACTCTAGTTGTCAATATTTAACTATTTGTCATATTTTGCTTGGTTTCTAACGTGAATGACAGGTTTCTTTGGGGGGTGGGGTGGGGGGGTGGTTATATGATAAGAAGTAACTATGTTATGTCACTACCATTTTAGATAAAGAGAATTTGTAATAATAATAATAATATTATTATTATTATTATTAACTATTGTTCCCCCATTCAACCTATTCATATATTTATCATAATACCATATGATGTATACAAATGAACAATACCTTTCATTCCCTACAGCTGCCTCTTATTATTATTATTATTATTATTATTATTATTATTATTATTATTATTATTATTATTGATATTACCATTGATCACATCAGGGGGAAGAAACAACTTGAAAATTGAACAGAAAATAAATAGCGCGGGCAGAACAAGAAAAGAAACGAATTTAACTGTTCGAAAAAATATAAAATATGTCATCACAACAGAGATATATATATAAATATAAACAAAGTTGTACAAAAAAACAGTTAGCAATTATCATTGAATTAGATGTAAACATTTATCATTATTATCATTACTATTTTAGGAAGTAAACATTCAAAGTTATTATCAGAAGAGGGGGGGGTGTTGTGGTAATTTATTAGTTGAATTCATGAAGTAATTGGAACTAGATTATCATGGATAACTTGAAGGTATTCGATAGTTAGTTGTTTTATTCTAGTATGGAACTCCTGAATAGTGTACATCTGATCGTAGGATTCAAACTGAGAAGCTATCGATTCGCGTGCACACAAACATTTAACCTCTAAATCATTTAGTTGATAGCTAACAATGTGTTTTATCTAACTCTTGATTGAAATCATGAACCGATTGATGTTAGACCACTATTGGGTTCGAATCCCGGCAAGCGAGATCGTGGATGCGTACTTCTGAGGAGTCACACAATAGAATGAAACGGCTGTCCAGTGCTTTCAAGTTTTCAATGGTGGTCTAACATCAATCGATTCATGATTTCAATCAAAAGCTTAACAATCACCACAACCACAAAACTGATCTTATCTAATTATTCTACATTGTAGTTTTATAAATAAATTAATTTATTTCGAAATAACTAATTAATCATATTTTATTATGAAATTCAGAAGAGGAAGAAGAAGAAAGAAAAGGAAGAAAAATCATCCAAGATTTTTGTATTTTATCAATTACATAATTAATCATTATTTAATTAATTTGTGAATTGAATGAAATGAAGTAATCACATGTCTATAAAAATTGTAGTTTTAAATACTTTGTACAAGTTATAACAGTAGTAATTGAATGGAATATTCTATAGCCTACTGATTGTTATTCCTTATTAAAAGTTAATCTGATAATTGAATAACAATAAAAGATATATCAACAATTGAAATCATGAGTTAGTTGAAGCTAGACCGCCACAGAAAACCTGAAAGCACTGGACGGCCTACTCGTCCTATTGTGGAACTCCTCAGCAGTGCACATTCACGACCCCGCTTCGCAACATTCGAACTCAGGACCTATCAGTCTTGCGCCAGGCGCTTAACCAACTAGACCATTGAGCCAGCCGGTATCCAACGGTGTTAATGCCTAACTTCAACTAATCCACAACTGATCCGGTTGAACTCGACTGGTCACTGCTTCTCACTAGAACTCCAGGATATACATCTTGAAACCAGTCACTAGTGTGTATATGTTGATTAGTATCAGAAGAGGTTTTGTGGAGATTGTAGTAATTTCAACAGTTGAGATCATGAGTCAATTGAAGCTAGAACACCTTTGGAAACCTGGTAATACTGGACGGCCGTTTCGTCCTATTGTGGGACTCCTCAGCAGTACGCACCCATGACCCCGCTTTTTTTGTTGTGAAAATGACCAACGAGTGAACTTGAAGAAGTTTTAAAAGAAAGAGCAGAAGATATTTCATTTAATCAACTTTTGGAAGAATATTCAAGAATCTCTATGCATAGCTTCCCTATTGAACAGATGCGGACTGGAGGACTACAATGATGATTAGGTTTTTACTAAAAGAAAAAAACTATAAATACCTGATAGTTTTGTACCATAATTGACACTGTTGTCAAATAGCATTTCTTTCACTTGTCTTCTATCTTCTCACTTGGAGGGTTCTAGCATTCGAGTACTTTAGTTGTACGCGGTATGTTAAGAATCTAAGCTCTAGATATAACATCTTGAAGTAAATAATAAGTAGTAAAAGATGGTAAGTTTGTCTATAAAATGTTCAGCACTTCTACCTAAAGTATATACTAATGATGTTGTTCAGAAGAACAATGAAAGCTTCACGACTAAATCATCCAGCTCAACGAACAAAACCCCATAAACGTGATTGTACTACAAAATGAATGTCTTAGTTATTTCAAAAAAGAAACTTATAATAAACAAGACGCTGATTTTTACAGTTGTAAAAATGAACAACTCTATACCTAAGACTTGTATTTTTCTAAGGGTGATATAACAAGCAAGATTTTAATGGACAAATCCATTGAAATAACTCTTACTGACGTTACATAATAGGAAACTTTCTCAAAAATCAACATACCTATGATTAGTAATTGTATTTATATACTTTAATTAGATTTCTATCCTACTGTTAAAACCCTATTTTGATCAGAGGATTGGTGATTTAGTTAAAGGCTTGAACACACAAATAAACGATGACAAGTAAGAAATTCTGTTTGGTTTCATCATTATATATGACGGCATTTCAAGTGACTATTCGAGTTCAATCTGGTCCGCTGCGAGATAGTAACTGACGGTGGCAAAATTTTGGTAGATTGGTTGAAGTTAGATATGAACACCAACGGATGCCGGTACAATTGTTTAAAGGTTTACCGTTTGTGCGCGAGACCGATAGGTCTTGAGTTCGAATCCTGCAAAGAGTATCGTGGATGTACACTGCAAAAAAGTCCCATACTATGACGAAATGACCGTTTGGCGCTTTCACGTTTTCCACGGTAGTCTAGCCGTAATTAACTCATGAATTTAACTAATAAATTACTACAATCTCCATAAAACTCCTTTCTGATAATTATAATGTGAGAAACTGTGACCAGTGGAGTTCAACTAGGTCTGTTGTGAGGTAGTAATTCACTGAAGACAATGGTGGATATGTTATTCAATTTCGTGGATTAGTTGAAGTTAGACATTAACACCGTTGGATGCCGTACGGCTCAGTGAACTAATGGTTAAGCACTTGCGCGCGATTCCGATAGGTCCCAAGTTTCAATCTCGCAAGGTGGGATCGTAGATGCGCATTGCTGAGAAGTCCCACAATAAGACGAAGTGACCGTCCAGTACTTCCAGGTTTTCTATGGCGGTCTAGCTTCAACTGACTCATGATCTTAACCATTCAAGCTATAAATGTATTTATTTCCATCCTGAAATATTTCGTTTTATATATATAATTATAACAGTGACTCATCAACTTTTATTTTCTTCATTTTATAAGTGGTAAAACGATGAAGTTTTTTGTTTTGTATTCAATTTGTTTTATTGAATTGAATTTTGTTTTAATTTTTTAGAGACCGCCAACATTAATTGCATTTCCTATCATAGCAATTATCTCATTTGTATTTTGTTATTTTATTTCAAGTGTTATACTTGCCACTTTACAAGTAAGTAATGCTCTTATATTAGTTTGTTTTGTGTGTGATAAACTACTTAAAACTACTGAATATAAAAATGTCTACAATCATAAATTATTTCTTTTAATTGAAAATGAGGTGATTATGTAATAATTTCACTTTCGGACAGTTATGATAGTTAAGTTAATGTATACCTCAATAATGATTCGTTTTGAATACTTTAGAAACTAGGTTGAATGATAAACGAATATATTAGTCATTATAAAAATTGAGCTTAAAGGTAAGGTGTTGAGTATTTTAAAGAACGATCGTCTCGTCCTATTGTGGGACTCCTCAGCAGCGCGCATCCACAATCACGCTTGCGGGATTCGAACTTGTGGCCTCCAGTTTCGTGCGCGGACGCCTAATCTCCAAACCACTGAGCCGGCCGGAATCTAACAGTGTCATTGTCTAACCTCAATCAGTCTGCAAAATTGCGCGACCGTCTTCCATTGAACTGAAGTAGATACCTGTCTCTACCCGACATGGATTAGCTCCACTGGTCACGACTTCTCATAAAGTTAGTCCCGCGAACGGGATTGTAGATGAGCACTATTGAGAAGTCCCACAATAGGACGAGACGGCCGTCCAGTGGTTACAGGTTTTCAATGGTAGTCTAACATTAATCGGTTCCTGATCTCAATGAAAAACATAATAATCTCCATAACCCTATATTGATATTCTAAAGGAGACAACACAGAGCTCATTCATTAAAAGAAGAAAATGAAACATCGACGATTGAAACATTTCAATGGAATAAAATTTAAACCTTAAGTAGATATTTTAGTTTAGTAGTTCCATGAGAAATATGAAATTCTAAGATGGCTGTACCAATCCAATCACAATTGACGGAGAAGATTTGGAAGATGTAAAAACCTTTACATATTTGGGCAGCATCATTGATGAACACGGTGGATCTGATGCAGATGTGAAGGCGCGGATCGGCAAAGCAAGAGCAGCATATTTACAACTGAGGAACATCTGGAACTCAAAGCAACTATCAGCCAACTCCAAGGCCAGGATTTTCAATACAAATGTTAAGACAGTTCTACTGTATGGGGCAGAAACTTGGATAAATACGAATGCCATCATCCACAAGATACAGGTGTTTATTAACAATTTTCTATGCAAAATACTTCAAATCCGTTGACCAAACACTATCAGCAACAACCTACTGTGGGAGAGAACAAACCAGATCCCAGCGGTGGAAGAAATCAGGAAGAAGTACTGGAAGTGGATTGGAAACACATTGCTGAAAGCACCCAACTGCGTCACAAGACAATGCCTCACATGGAATCCTGAAGGTCAAAGGAAAAGAGGAAGACCAAAGAACACATTACGCCGAGAAATGGAAATAGACATGAGAAAAATGAACAAGAATTGGATGGAACTAGAAAAGTAGGCGGAGGACAGAGTGGGTTGGAGAATGCTGGTCAGCGGCCTATGCTCCATTGGGAGTAACAGGCGTAAGTAACTAAGTAAGATGTCTGTTATTCTGGTGTTACAGATAGCTAGTAGTTTTAGTATCAACACCCCTATAAACATAAAATTATCCATTTTCTTTATAAATTCTTAATATACACTTGATCTAACAATGTCCATTTCATAACTATCAGTTGAATTAAATGATTTAATCTTGGATATTAATTTCAAATAAGTATTGCATACACATGTGCTTCATTGTTTGAGCAAAACGATTTGAAGATGTTTTAAAACAAATAACTTCCACTAGCAAACTGAAATACAATGTACAAAACAGTTTAAATAATTACTTTAACTAAGTAGATAACGCAATGATGTTCCAATTGAATGGTACTGGGTTAGAAACTTGGAGTGAATTCCAGGATTCTGGGACGTAGGCATATCCATAGGACGAGTCCCAAATAAGATGAAACGTGCGTCATGGATTTCACTACTAGGCAATATTTATCTTAGTGAGTGTTTGAGTTGGTTGGTTATTGATATTCAGGAATGAATTTTGATTATCTCTTAGTTGGTATAGGTGCACCACTGTACATACTGATTCGATTAAGTCACTATATCAAAAGTTATTTAGAATAGATAGATTATGAATAATATTATAGAGATTTTCTTTAAAAACATCATACCCATTTAATAAGTTAATGGTTAGACGGAGTCATTAACTCGTTGAACAGCATATTAGCAATTTTTTAACAGAAGGGGCTTTTGTGGACATTGTAGTAATTCAATAGTTGGATTCATGAGTCCACTAAAGATAGACCACCATGGAAAACTCAGAAACACCGGGCGGTCGTTTCGTCATAGTACGGGACTCTTCAGCAGTGTACATCCACGATCCTGCTCTCGGGCTTCGAACTCAGGACATGTCGGTCTCAAGTGCGAACGCTAAACCTCTAGACCATTATGCCGACATCCGGTGGTGTTAATGTCTAACTTCAACTAGGTCTATTGTGAGATAGTAACTCACTGAAGACAATGGTGAACGGTGGCACATTACCAGTTTCGTATGTTTCTGAGTTTCGATTTGATCACTGATACTACAAAGTGTAGATAAATTCAGAAGTTAAGTATCGAATATAACATAATGATAGTCTTAGTTTCTTTCCCTTGTTAGCTATAATTCACTTTACCTTACATTGTTCTTTCTATTCCATAGCATATACTATCTACAATTGTAATTTGTTATTGTTTACAAGAATGTAAATTTGCTGAAGATGAACTATTTGGTCGTGAATCTAAATTTATTTTTCGGCATGAAAATTTCAAGGTAAAAATTACTCCTTTTTAGTGTTGTTTTTAAATATTATTGACATAGATAGTATGAAAACTGGATGTAATAAAGTTAGAATTTATCCGTGCAACAAACGTTTTTAGTGATCTAAAGTTATTGGGTTAGTGATTTATACCAACCATAGACAGTTGCATGAGAATAGATATAACAGATTGTCATCATTACCATTGTGCTAAGATACTAAAAAACTAGATTATTGATCTTTCAATCTAACTCTGGCTGTTTAATTAAGTTCTAAGATCACAAGTCATTATTAATATCTGAATGTTTGGTTTTCTGAAGATAATCATAAAGCGTTCGATAGTATTCATCTTTTACTTCGTTAGTGTTTTAGTCAATGGCAAGAGCCTAGGCAGAAATGACAAGGAGACAATGAGAACAACCCAAAACTTTCCTAGTTTTTTTCTCTATCAATTAGTTTAACAACATATAAGAGACTGTTATCTGAAATCCGTATAAAGAGTCTTTGTTCTGACTTCACACTCATTACTTCATCTATTCTGATTGAACAACGGAAAGGTATCACTGAGTCTTCAGATACCTAAGTGCCTCATTCCTACAGATGAAGAACATATGGTTTAGTGGTCCTATATTTGACTCCAATTAGATTGTATGAATGATTGTTATTGAAATACACATGTCGCCTATCCTCATATAAAATTATCGACTTAACTCGCGTCCGTGAATAATGGAAATATATGAGTCCAATACGAAAAATGATTTTCGGATGCACATATTTTTCATACTCATTGATCCTGACAGATAATCAGAGGGACGAAGTGAAGGAAACGCAGAGATGAGAGTGAAGTGAAACAACGCGCAGTGGAGAAGGCCAACTCCTTTTAATCAATCGTGGATCAATATTTATAGTCACACAAAAATACGCTACACACATGTGATGAATAGGATATACATTATGCACACATACATTTATATAAAAAGTGAATAATTAACAAGGTCAAAATATAACTCAAGGAGAACGAATAGATTGGTCTGTCCAGAAGCTAGAATAAGTTATATGGGCTTAACACAGTAAGAGACACTAAAATGGAACTCAAAACAACTGTCAACCAATATCAAAGTGAGAATCTTCAATATGAACGTCAAGGCAGTTCTACTGTACGGAGCTGAAACTTGGAGAACTACAACAACCATCATAAAGAAGGTGCAAGTATTTATAAATAGTTGTCTACGCAAGATACTCAAAACCCATTGGCCGGATACCATCAGCAATAGCCTTTTATGGGAGAGAACACACCAGCTTCCAGCTGAAGAGGAAATTCGGAAAGACAATGGAAATGGATAGGACATACATTACGCAAGTCATCAAAGTCCATAACAAGGCAAGCTCTTACTTAGAATCCCGAAGGAAAGCGGAAAAGAGGAAGGCCAAAGAACAGATATGGAAAGGAATAACAACTGGAAGGAGCTGGAAAGGATTGTACAGAACAGGGTTGGATGGCGAACACTAGCGAGCGGTCTATGCTCCTTCACGAGGAGTGACAGGCGTAAGTAAGTAAGGATGTCATCAGCAACAACCTACTGTGGGAAAAGACAAACCAGCTTCCAGCTATAAAGGAATTTAGGAAAAGACGTTGAAAGTGAATAGGACATATATTACGGCAGTCATCAAATTGCATCAGGAGGCAAGTGCTAACTCGGAATTCTCAAGGGAAACGAAATGAGGAAGGCCAATGAACACAGTGAGTTGGAGATTGGAAACAGATCTGCATCAGATCGACCGTGTTTATCAATGGTGCTTTCCAGATATGTAAATGTTTTTACATCCTCCAAAGCTTCTCCGTCAAGTTTTACTTGATTATTACATGCTATGTTGTATCGGAGAATCTTGCTTTTCCCTTTGTGTATGTTGAGACCTACTGCTGCTGAGGCTGCTGCTACACTGGTCGTCTTCTTCTGTATTTGTTGTTGAGTATGAGATAGAAAAACCAGATCATTTGCGAAGTCTAGATCGCCCAGCTGCATCCCAGCTGTCCACTGTATCCCATGCTTCCCCTCAGATGTTGACGTCTCCCCCCCTCCATCGAATTGTAGTTGCTACAACTCAAATAAAAGTAAATACATGTATCTGATAAAGATAGATTTATTATTGTTCGACACTAAACAATGATTAAATGAACAGACGTTATTAGGGGAAATGATTCACTATATTTTGTCCAAAGTTAAACAACCGACTGATAAGTGAAGGGATTCTTCAAAAAAAGTGATTCGTGGGAAGTTATTAAGATTCATATTAGATAAACATTTGATTAATGTGAACATTTTTAGCTCTTTACTTATTTTCTAGTTTTTGTTTTAAGCATGGCATTAGTCATCTTACATCAAAAGCATAGAAATCTACACATGTGCAATTAAAATTTGCTAATTTTCGTTGCCATGCCAAGGGTATAGACCAAAAAAGCGCTTCAATCAATGTTTTGTAGTTAAAGGAAATTGGCAGGAAACTTTGAACTTAGGTTTCATAACAGCCTATCTTAAAACTTTCTAGATTCAATAATCTCAACAGGATTCGAAGTAATATCAGACAATTCCACATAGTGAGACATTATCACATGGCTATTTGAACTGTAACTGGCCTTATGTGAGATTGAAAGACAAATTGATTTCACTCTTGTTTAACCCTTATCGGTAATCGAATCTATTGCCACCTCAATAACTGATTGTTAACATCTCAGTCTGTGAAGCTGGGTTATGTAAAGAGAAATCCATCATGGTTTGTCAGTTCCCTCAAGATTACAGATAAATTTGGCTACAATGTACCTATTATCACATAACCTAGGTATAGGGTGTTCCATCATCGACGTCCAAACATCTAACATCTCAAGAATGTGCACGCGTTATGAATTCGCTTTGACTTATGACCATATTGCAACCTAATCAACAGAGTTTGACCATCACTAAGGTCTAGAAATATTTGACGTTAGTTACTTTTCAGTAATAAATCTGTACAACGCTGCAGTCTCTTACAACAGCAAATGCATGTTGAATAGAAATTGTGCTTAGTAATTTGATATCGCATTTATCAAGTTAAAACAAAGGTGATTTTATCCGTACTGTTTATAAGATTGGTCAAAGAGTAAAACCAAATTAACGAACTATCAAAAAGTCAAGTAATACAAGACATTTGTTTGTAATTTCTCACCGTTTCATGTTTCAACTAAACCTAGTCACTAAGTTGATTGACTGATTGATGCACAGTATAAACCGACAACTAGAACAGCATTCATTCAAACTATTTGTTCACATTTTCTACGTCATTCATTGTTCAACGATCATTCTTTTCTATCGGTTTATGAGCTTTAGAAACAATAAGATATTTATTATATATAATCACGTAACATTAAATACATACTAGCGGGGTGTATGCTACTTATGTCGACATATGTAGTATATAACACCAATCAGATAGGGAAAGCATAGTTAGATGGTGGTTGGAGGTATTCAACAGGAAACCCTGACGACCCGGATTTCGTGCTACTTGACACTCGTCAGCAAGGTGTACCTGTAACCTTGAGGGAACTGGTGCTCCGTGGCGAACTCGATCTCATGTCACCCAGATTCACAGTAAGAGACCTTACCACTGAGCTATCCTAGCTGCGACCGACCTCCTGTACGACTGAGATGTAATCACATCTGACTGATCATTGGGTGGTGACCAATGTCATGTGGTAACGTCTCTGACTGTGAAGCTGGATGACACGGAATCGAATCCGTCTGGGAGCACCAGTTCCCTCAAGATTACAGGTACACCTTGCTGACGAGTGCCAAGTAGCACGAAACCCGAATCCAGGGTTTCCTGTCAAATACCTCCAACCACCATCTTATCTCAATATATAGTGCCCGCAATGTCGAGTCACCTAGACTGGTGGCCACATTGCAACATGATCGATAGCATTCGATCTGCACTAATAAGGAATAGACACGCATGACATTGATCGCCACCCAGTGATCAATCAATTGGGAATGCCTAGTATCAGGGAGTTATAAAGATCAAATAAAAAAGAACGTAGACAGAGAGTAATTATTATGGCAATGAAAGAATTTTGAGATAATTGATAGGGGATTTGCAAACGAAGTATTGAACTAATGGTTTTCACATTCTACCAAAGAACTACTTATATATCGACTATAAGTGTCATACACCATAGTACACTTACTTACAATCTATCCCATTTGATATGTATATCTTATAATTGATTGTATGTATTATTCTTTAACTTGACTTGTTCGATAACAAAATAATATGTTACCTTTCATCATTGTCATCGTATTTATTCTCTATAATTCTATCAGTGTCATTTGGTCAAATTATTAAATACTACCAATTCAAAGCCTAATACATTACGCAATGGATGTATAACAGATAAATTTCATAATCAATTATCTGATTCTTTTCAAAATTATCGAAATCTTGATATACAATGGATAGAGAATTCAGAGGATGATATTAGTGTCAAAGGATTTACATTGAATCCTCCATTACCAAAGAAAAAAACTATTTGTATACAGTAATATTATGTAATGATTGTAAATTATTGTAATATTTCAACTTCTATTAACATATATATTCATTTTTTATAATTCTAATGATACTACTACTACTACTACTACTAATACTATTACTAATACTAATACTACTACCAATACTACCACTATCACCACCCCCACTACTACTACTACCACTACCACCACCACTACTAATACTACCACCACTACTACTGCTACTAGTACTGCTAATACTACTGATGGTACTACTACGACTATTACTACTACTAATACTACCAATCACATTAATTATAATAAGACTGGTTAGTATTCATCTTCTATTCGATATAATGTATTCAAACAAATGATCATTATAATTTTTATAATAATCCATACGGAACATTATGTAATGAAACAAACTAACTTATACTCATAGAGTGAAAAGACTTTGTAAAGTGTTTCCTCCTCCTCCTCCTCCTCCTTCTCCTCTACTACTACTACTAATAATAATAATAATTCATGATTATGTATCCATGCGCACATTTTCAACTTTTCCTCTTGAATCTTGACAAGTCGATTCGTAGAGTTGGATACAAAAAAAAACGTTTCCATTTTAAAGGATTTTACTTTTATTTATTTATTTATTCATTTAGACTGTAAATAGGCTGACAGGTACTTTTCCTTTTTTATTACATCTCTTGCATGATTACGTAACACATTTCCTTTTTAATCTGTTTTTTGTTTGTTTGTTTGTGTAAATTTAATGCATGGTATGATGTAATAACACAGTGTAATAAAATCTTATTTAAATTATTTACACTTATTATAAAAAAAAGGAACTTAAGGTAAGAAAACAATTCTAATAGAGTAACGGTACTAAGTGATGATCACTATCACAACCGTTGTTCGTACCTTGACGTAGTGGTCAGGCTTGCATATCGTGATGAACCAATCGAACTATATTGGCTGGAACAATCGTTTCTCAACGTCCTACCATGCCAGACAGGTCGGTTGAAGAACGGTAAGACTAAAAGCAAAAAACCCAAGGTCTGAAGGTGAAGTCATACTGCTGACTGTACAGAGGTGTGACGGCAGTAAGGTGTTTCCTTCAGACAACCAGCATAACAGCGATGTTGCCTTCCCACAAGAATGGTGGAGTAACTATGTTCCAATTGATGTGTAGTGGTTTTCCTTTTTTAATTCATCACCATTGTAACCGTCATTATAAAAATCATAACGGTGTTTCAAATCAGAAGGCATTGAGAAACGGTAACTACAGTGTATCAGGGGATAGCGCTGATCATAAAGCTATAAACACATCGAGCGAATTTGAACTAGAGAGGCGAATAAATATATGGGCAAATTTATAGTCAAATTGCATAAGGACTCAGCAAGGTTAAAGTAAAAGCTAATAATAGAATCTGAGTACACATGTGGTGTGTGCTACTTATATTGACATAAGTAGTATATGATGTAAGTCGTTAACAGAAGGTCTGACAGCAGAGAGACATGAGCATCGAACAGTTAAGAATGGAGACAGAATGCAATTTGTATGAAAATGCAAGAACAATGAAGTCTGAGTCATTTTGAGACAACTGGTGGACATTTTGCAACTTAAGCATTTACTTTATGATTGTTAGATTCTATCAACAAGTCCTGTAATTTTGAGTCAGATACATTCGATAGTCCCCACTCGCGTTCTGTTCACTACGCATACATACATAGGGAGAAGGATGAACCATCGAGTGATATTTAGGTAATCAACCACTTAAGCTAAACTCTGTCATACGATCTAGTGATTATAACAGTACAAAAAATATGCAGACTGTTACTGTTCAAGTAACATTGTCTGTTAAGTAAATTAAAAGGGTTTCATCAAAATCAACCATAATCGAAATCGGCTGTAAGATAATTGCTACAGATCATTGATTTGGTATGGTTTTATTTGTCTTCTTTTAAAAGACTAATACATGATTGAATCCTATCGTATATTTACTTTTTCCATGGTGATCTAACTTCATTTGACTCATGAATTCAACTATTAAATTACTACAATCTCCACAAAAAAAACCCATCTCTGATTATTAAAAAACAACCCATTGGAAATATTATTACTCTAAGGCTTATGGATTTGTTAGAAATAGATTAGTAGAAATAGTTTGAAGTTTAATTTTTACAGTGATTTCATCTAAATACAATCAAATAGCATATCGAGATTTCAATGTAGTCAATATGTGATGTTTGCTACTGATGTCGACATATATAAGTAGTAATGTTCATCAGTCAAAAGTCAAATACCTATAGGCAGAAGGTTAAGAAGATCAAAGAAAAGAGGACAAGAACAATGAATGATTGACGTGGAATTGAAAGAACAATAAAGTCTGAGACGATTGATAGACATTTACAGAAGCAACAGTCAAGTCTGAGACAATTGAGGGATATTTAGCAAATGAAGTATTTACTGTATGGTTCTCAGATTTTAATAAGATGTTCTGTAATTTTGAATTCATATATATTTGATTGTTCCCACTGATGTTTTCGTTCACTGCAATAATAATGAGTCGTTAATCTAATAGTACTCAAGTTCCTGTATGATACTGTCCGAAAAATCGATAAAGTTATACAATCATTTCATCGTCATATAATATATTGATCAAGCTTAAAGTTTTGTTCACTCAAATCGACAAAGTGAAATCTATTCCGAAGTTCACAAAAACTTACTTTGTTATAACTCCATAAAGCCCAGGACAGGGTTGGATAGAGAATGCTGGTGAGCGGCCTATGATCCTTCACGAGGAGTAACAGGCGTAAGTAAGTATTAACTCCATAAGACGTTAAATTTCCAATCTGATTTGTTTGCTTGACAATAAACTCACCATATTACTGTGGTAAATTTGAGGATACATACATGATAGAGTAGAATGTCAACTGTTTTTCAAACAATAATTTAGAAAAATACAGTCATCAAATTAAACTTTCCCATCAATTCAATGGATCCATATATAAAAACAAGTCCTATTTTAGATTCATAAACTTTTGTTATGTTGTCACAGCAACACATGGTGTGTTTCTCAATCCACATCAAAAGAATGAACTGTTTAATCTACAAACATTGTCTGTTGTACATGAATAAAAATAAAATAGCTGGGAAGGATGGATAACAGTGACTGATCTGTCATGATCATGAAGATTCCGACATTTTAAAACATTCCCCTTATCTATGGACTACAAATATAGAATCCTATCAAGTTGATAAAATACAAATTTAACTGGAAAAGAATTAAGAAGTGTTGATGAGCAGAAATTAGTGAGTTGTCGTTGTAAATCATTTACTTAGTTACAATGAGATCATCTTCTTATTTGACATAGATTGAATATTAGCACTACATCTTCATTTGAATTAAAATCTGAAGAAAAGTTCTGATGAAACAACTAAAGGTTTATTCACCTGGAAATTATTTACAACCTGATCTTAAGATTAGATGGTGGTTTGAGGTAGTCGACAGGAAACCTTGGACGCAGGGAGCACCAGTTCCCTCAAGATTACAGGTACACCTTGCTGACGAGTGCCAAGTAGCACGAAACCCGAATGCAGGGTTTCCTGTCGACTACCTTCAACCACCATCTAATCTCAATATATAGTGCCCGCAATGTCGAGTCACCTAGACTGATGGCCACATTGCAACATGATCGGTAGCATTCGATCTGCACTAATAAGTAGTAGACACGCATGACATTGATCGCCACCCAGTGATCAATCAATTGTGAAAACTTAATCTAATTGAAGGTTCTTCAGTTCTTAACAAGTAACATATTGCATAAACATTTCACTTGTTAAAATAACTGAGTTAATGACGTAATCAAATTTGTAAATTAGCAAATAAATACTATAAGCACTTCAACATAATAATAAGAAGGACATCTGGAACTCAAAGAACTGTCAACCAACACCAAGGTCAGGATTTTCAATTCAAATGTGAACACAGCTCTACTGTATGGGGCAGAAACTTGGATAACTACGAATGCCATCATCCACAAGATACAAGTGTTTATTAGCAATTGTCTACGCAAAATACTTCAAATCCGTTGACCAAACACTATCAGCAACAACTTATTGTGGAATAGAACAAACCAGATTCCAACGGAGGAATAAATGAGGAAGAAGCATTGGAAGTAGATAGGACACACATTGAGGAAATCACCCAACTGCGTCATAAGACAAGCCCTCATCTGGAATCCTCAAGGCCGAAAGAAAAGAGGAAAACCAAAGAACACATTACTCCAAGAAATGGAGACAGACATGAAAAGAATGAACAACAATTGAATAGAACTGGAATAAAAGTCTGTAAACATGGTATGTTGGAGAATGCTGATCGTCAGCCTATGCTCCGTTGTAGGTAACAGGCGTAAGTAAGTAAGCAAGTAATAGCAATAACATCTGATCTATTGATCAGTAGACTGTTGTCTAAAGTACATTTATATACCAGCTCAATTTTGATGATTGAAACTGAATAAAAATAGCTTCATTGCTGTATAATTTTATATTTTACAATTTTAATTCAACCTAAAATAACAAATCAAAGAAGTAAAGACAAACAAGAATGAAAGTGGAATTTATTTTTTTTTATTATCTAAAATAAATTATGGTTCATTCATTTTAGTTTCTACGAGAAAGAACAAAGTACAAAATCAAACTGTGTTTTTTTCTTTCTTGGCAAATTGATCCAGAAAATGTATCTGGATACACGTGTTTGAAACAATAAAAAATAATGAATGTTTCTGGGAAAGGTGTAGTAAAACAACAAAAAAAAAGGAAAGACAGAAAGAAAGAAATTTACCAGAATCTTTTGATATACCAACGAATACATATGCGCCGCACTAATCACTTGATTTATGTGTCGGATGTGATACTGCCCGGGGGTCCAGACCCAAGTAGGTGGTTTTCTTAGGGGGCCACGCCGGGAGCCTTCGAACTCAATGTTTGAACCATAAGGAAGTGAGCAACTACAGGAGATTCAGTCCCATGGTAGCCGGTGACTAATAATTGGTTTATACGCCATTTGTTCCTTCAGGATCCTGGAGCACATGTGCACCACTGGTTTGGAATTAGCATTTTCTAACTCCTCTATGTGGATCCTCCATATCCACCAACCCAATTAAAGCATCGGACACTGGCGTTATGATGAATAGGATATACAGTGTGCAAACATACATTTATATAAAAAGTGAATAATTAACAAGGTCAAAATATGACTCAAGGAGGACGAATAGATTAGTCTGTCCATAAGTTAGAATAAGTTCACATAATTTTCACAAACTTTGATCTATTTTGAAATAGAATATAAATTTCTTGCTGAATCATGACTTTACAAAATCTTCAACTTCCTTCATGAAAGTTGAATGTCTATTCATATAAACTATTAAAACCGCACAGTACATAATTGACTTTTAACCGATGTAACCATCAAGTAGGTAATATTGCGTTTAGACCCAAAGTACTATATGGATATGGTAGATAGTTGATAATGTAGTGAATTTTTATCGACTGGTGTGGATCGGATACAGCAACTGTCTAGCTAGATGAGAATTCTTTGCTAGTGTAAGAGTACTTTGAGAGAAAGCTAAGGCAGATATACAAAAACATTGAATCTATTCACAAAGGTTTGGACTGTTTGACTGAGCCATCTCAATAAAGTACCTCGTTATAGTCATGACTATTACCGTTACCAATAGTTGTAGACGTTGGGTGGTATGATTCAGAATCAGTCATAATGGCAAATATACATTTGTTCTTCTCCTTCTCATTAATCCTGAGTTATAAAGTTATCTCACAATTAATTCCACAAGTTCATTCTTTCTTTAATCACGTTCTTCATGGATAGTGCTTTCTACTATCACTGGTATTGTTACTACTTCTATTAATACGTGATTTCTCTTGATTATTTCATTTTACTGTGTTAATGTAACGTGACGACTTCAAAAGAATCATACATATACTAGGCTGTTTTCGTATTCAAATAAATGTCAAACACTTTCAAGCGTAATACCGTGTTGTAAATAAACTACAGAATTTACCAAATAATACCAGAACTTGTTCACCAACCAAATAAGAATTTGGATGTATCGGTTATTTGGATCTTATAATTGATGTTCAGAACTTCAATTGATCTATCTGTTTTGGCATTTGTCCATTCTATCCAGAATGCCTTGATATAGTCACCATTCCTTTGTGACTTAATGGTAATAACGAGGTAATCTATGTAGAATACACATTAGTCAAAAGAGACTGATCAACTGCAATCCTATTTATCAATGGAAGATCAAGGTAACCAGTATATATCTATCAAAATCCACCCTGCTGTACAAGTCAGTGACCATCTGGACTCAGTAGCTATGAGGGTAACACGATAGTATTTAAAGTAAAGGGTACTGGGTTTATGTTCTGGAGTGAACAACAATTCAGTGATCTAGGTACATCCAACAGAAAAGCCCTGAATAGGACGAAACGTGAGTTTAAAATTCCACTGTTGAACTCCATCTATTTATGCTTTAAAATGCAAGTAAATAACAGTCGGGTAACGTTTTGATACTAAGACTATAATCGATACGTGGTTGTGTTCTGTTTTTCAGTCCATAAGTTTGATAATAAAAATACTGTTTTACCAAAAATGATGGTTCTATTTACTATCATATACCTTTAAGAACTGAAAAAAATGATGTTCCTCAGTAAACGAAAGTCTTACATTAATCAGCATGAAACCTAATAACTTGATGAACTCTTTTTTTTTAAAGCACCATAGATCTACAATACATAGGCTTAACTTTTGAAAGTAGTTTAATTCAAGGTATTAATGATCCTTTCCTTATTCATCAAACTCTTTAGTCAGAAATCGATTATTCAAAGCTTAAACTATCATCAGAAGAGTGAATCTATGTAAAAGACAACAACATATTGATACTTAATATTACGTTGTAGAGATCAAAGATGATGTTAAGTGACTTATTGACATTTAGTAAGAGAAAACAGGTAATCGTAAATGTAAGCGTATTATTAAATAAACATATACACAGTGAAATTTTTTCAACCGAACCTATTTACCTAAGCCAAACACCTAGGTTAAAATAGTCAAAGCAAGATAATGACAACACAAGGTTTTTTCAGTATCACATCTAAAAGGCTATAAAAAGGAAAAATTACAAGACCTTAATATGTATAAAACGTCTAGGAAAATATAATACGTAACTAGTATTGATGATTCATCAGTATCAATTGTGATATTTGATCTTATATGGGTAGTAAAGCAACTCCGCCTGGAGCCACTCTGGGGTTACTGATGGTCCCAAGCCCGGACAAAGAAGAACGGTTGGGCGACCTCATCCCGTAGTAAATTAACTAGCTAAAAAGTGCTAGTCAGAAAAAATAACTCAAAACATTTAAACTCTGACACGGGAGTTAGAATTTCTTCATTTAAAAGAGTTATGACTCATCATGGTGAAAGCCGAGTTAAGGAAAGCACTCAACTGTATCACAATGAAGCCCTCACATGGAATCCTTAATGTCATAGGAGAAGAGGAAGACCAAAGAACACATTACATCGAGAACTGGAGACAGACATGAGGAGAATAAACAAGAATTGAGTAGAACTAGAAAAGAATGTCCAGAACAGAGTGGGTTGGAGAATGTTGATCAGTGGCCTATGCTCCATTAGAGGTAACAGACGTAAGTAAAGTAAGTAAGTAAGGGTAGCAAGACAGTCTTATAACAACATCGCTAGAATTCTCTAGAGAAATGTTATAATTACAGTTGATGTCAGTTATCTTAAGACATTTGATTAAAACAGTGCTAACTCTAAAAATAGCATTCTAAGCAACCAAGTCATATCATTCAATGAAATTACACTAGTTACATTTGCAGTTGTTATTTAGATCTTTACATTCATATTTAGAACTGTGAGTGATCAGTCCGTTTCAGCATATGTACATCCTGCTCAAACTAACATTAAGTCACAAGCTCCTTAATTAGTGTTAGATGATGGCCAGCAATCGGATTCATGATGTACGTTTCGTCCTATTTAAGACTCATCAAGTGAGTGTACCTTCGTTTCCTTCACAATATCACTAGTAATTACATCTAAAAAGATGCAACAATGCTAGAATGATTCACTTAAGTTCGAAAACATCTGATCAGCTTTATTGTTTATCCAACTTATATAATCGCTTGGAATAGTATGGTATATATGGCATTTGATTTATTCATCAAGACAGTCATAAATACATCTTTTCCATATTCTTCTCGGCGAGACTCTAATTTATGGACGAACCTTGAACGAATCTTAAATGACCTTGACAATTATTAGCCAATCAGAAAACAGTATAAGGTGAAACTGTATTATGAGAAACTAATGAATTACAGTGGATATTCTTCTTATACGTGATTTAAAAACTTGTTAAGATTTGATAAAGGTTCAGATGTTCTGAAATAATAATGCGTACGATATAGGAACTCGTCTAAATGACTCCATGATTGTCGTCCTCTGGAGCCGTGGTACGGTCTTGAAAATTCCTTCAATGTCGACCACATGGCTTCAGTGTTGTTAGTATGAACGCCGGTAGTGGGATCGACAAAATGGCGTTTATGCAGCACGACATGATGAACATACCCAAGTCTATACTCTCTCCAATCGTCTGTATATACCGTAGTGCTCGGCTGCACGTATTCCTTTATACTTGGTATTATTGTGCTTCCTTGATGGTTTCTCACCCTGTGGAAATTCCGCTTTTGCGTTGATCGATCATAAATTCCAAGTACCTGTCAGGTACATTTATGGAAGTGCTACTCACCCATTCTTCCTTGATACTATATTCCCAGTTATATTTCCGCTTTCGCACTACTGTTTCATCTGTTTACACAATACTCCCTACTCTTCCGAATGATTCGTGTAGACGTGTCATTTTAAGTGCACATATATCACGACAATACTCATACCACTGGATGGCTGAAGTTTCAGTAACATCTGCAAACGCCGCAGCCAGTGTTACTGGTGCCTTTATAATCCAATTTGCAACTATTATCGTGATCTACCTCAGTCTCAGTCGCGATCGAAAGAAGAAAGTCCCCGTTCGAGCAAACTTTTTTCTCCAACATAAAAAATAACGAAATACTATCTCATCACGATAGTCTACACACTGTACTGCAGTCATTTGATAACCGCAGTAGTAGTAGTAGTAGTAGTAGTAGTCTCATCTCTTGTAGCCGCTCGATAATCACCTCTTCGTAAACCGATCTTATGTGAGCATCAGATGTTGAACATGGCTGCGTGACCTTGAAATCCCTCAAACTCTTATGATTGACTTGTCCATAAATAAGAGTCTCGCCTTCTTCTCTATAAGCGACTACACTCTGACTAGAATAAACCTTTGTTTAAATTACAATAAAGGAAATACCAAAAAATCTATAAAAACAAGGTAACAATATTTTCAATCTTTATAAACAATTAAATTCTGATTGGTTAATTAATATGGACCAATCAAAATTAAGAAAAATTAAGCTTTTTCAATTTTTAACTTTATATTATTCACTTTATAAAATCATGCTTATTAGTTAAAAATTACCGATTTATTCAAATTATGCTTGCCTCTTCTATAATGATTGAAAATATTCCATTAATGCCAAAGACACCACAAATTGTTATAGAGATTCCAGAAAATACATCAGAAGAATTAAACTATAATGATTTATTTATAAAATCAAATCATCATCATTGGACATCGGGTACATCAAGTCCAGGATCATGTTTTCAAAATTTATTAGCACCTTATTACGGGTCAATAAATCAACAACAATATCATTTATCAATAAGTGAAAATTCATCAAGTTATGGAAATCTTAAAGAGGATTATCATTTAGATAAACAAAATTTAATGAATCCACAATTATATATAAGTAGAACACCACCGCCAACATTATCATTACATTATTTAAATCAAACTAGAAATTCATATTGTTGTATTGCAAATCAGAATACAACAAAATTTTTTACATCATCTGAACATGACAAAATTAGTGATTTTCAACGTTCTAGTTCCACTTCATTAACTTCGAATTATAATATGAATAAATCATTATACTTAGATAATTATACAGAGAATTATACTTGTCAACCACAACAACAACAACACCACCGCCACCACTACAATCACCACCACCACCACCAACAACAACAACAACAGTACCTTCAATCAGAAAGATTTCCACATGTACATAGATCCTATACAACAAAATCTATGAAAACAAATTTCAATAATCCATCCAATCGTTCATTAAGTCCATATCCACAAACTATTAATTTATCTAAACAATGTATACCATGTATAACTACTCAAAGTCAATATAGTGATTTAGATTTATTGAATTATCATTATAATATAAATCATTCTGATAATATTTTATTATCTAAAACTATGCTCAGTAAAATGAATAAACAAAAACTGATACGTAGAGCATCTACACCATTATCTTATCAAAGTTTAATGACATCATCACAGATATTATGTAATTCTTCAATGACTACAAATACCTCATATAATACTACTACTAATAATAATATTAGTAGTGGTGGTAATAATCGATCGAATTTGATTAATCATTATCCATATAATCGATCAATAATTCGACACCCATCATCATCTATCATACAACGTTCTAATTCTTTACCAGAATTATCAACCATCATAAAATATCATGAATATAATAAAATGAATCCATCTATAAAATCTTATTCAAAAATAATAAAAAATGAACAAAATCAAGATAATTGGTATCATAAATATAAATCGAATAGAATATCATCGATACAATCTAATCATCATTTATTCTATCCAATTGAGTTACCATGTCAACAAAAAATGTATTTATCTACTATGAGAAATCATCGTCGACATACAGAAGATTGTAGTCATCAAATAAAAAATAAATCATCATCATTATTATTAGTACAATTAAATCGTCGATCAAATTCTGTATGTTCACAAAATCATTGTCATTCTAATATAAATAATCATAATCATAATACTACTCTTACTACTCATGGAAATATTGTTAGTAGTATGCGTAGTGTCAATTTTATTAGTAATATTCATCATCATAATAATAATAATAATTTAGATCATTCTAATCAAATGATAAATGATTATAATCATTATATACAACCATCTATATCACTAACGGATAATACAAATTTAGATAATACTACTAATTCATTAGATATAAGTAGTAAATCAATATATAAACAAAATAATGAAATCATCAATGATAATCATCATATTCTTAATTCTAAAGATTTAGAATTGAATAAAATGGATTCTAATCAAAATATCATTGAATTACATGTGAAAAAAGGTGATTCATTTACCCATTGTCTATGTTCATTAATTGTTCTATTAGTATGTATGCAATTAGTTGTTGGGATTGTATCTACAGGACTTGGATTATTTTTAACATGGAAAGTACCAGAATTAGATCCTATGGAATGTGCTTATTTATCTGGTATACCAGTAAGTGTTATTTTAATTTGTTTTGTTTTGTTTGTATTTTTTTTATATCGTAGTTAAATTCATGAGTTGATCTAAGCTAAGAGGTTAATTGTTCGTGTATGAAACTAACTGTTCTGTGTTTGAGCACTGTAATGTAACGTATGCCCAACGACTGACTGCCTCGACGTGCGATGTTCAATGGTATAGGAGTAGGTTGGAAGAAAGCTAGGTGCGGCCAGATCAAAACAAGTGGACTGAGTCATGTTGGTAGGTGTAGACTACCTGGTTGGGGACCGGGACCGCGAGATGATAACAACCGATGGTTAGAGACCCTGAATGACATGGCTCAAAATCGTTTGCAATGGTGCAGGTGCATCCACTCTTTGTGTTCTCCCAAATTCTAATCTCTTGATTCCTCCTTGTCGCTTTTTTTCTCTTTCCAAATTTATTTCACTGAATTATACTCTTTAAATAACATCTCCAAACCCTAATGTTTCCGATTACTACTTATACTCCTTCTACCTCTACCACTACGGGATTTGAATCGACAACTGAATCTCTGTGCTAATTTGGTATGCCAACTCGAACTGATGTATGTACGTACAAAGTTCTACGTTGTTACTGACTGGCTGACTGAATGTAGAATTGAAGATGTTCGTTGCTAAGGTGTTTCATACTACAACGAAACGGTCTTTCAGATTTTTAACGGTGGTGTAGATTTGATTAACTCATGAACTCAACTGTTCAAAACGGTAATGTTATGATTCCGTAAGCAAAATTAAAAATTCTGTTTCATTTAAATGGATAGTAACATCAACTAGGTTGTTGTCCTGAGCATAATCATAATTAATGACAGTCGTATAATTGTTCATTTAAGTAATAAATTTAAATTTCATTCATAATGTTTCAAATTGTAGAATAATGAAAACTGTAAGCATTTGTCGTTGAAATGTCTTTAAAGCTTAATATTTTGATATAAGAAAATTTGGATAGTGGCTAGTAGTGGAATTCAAGAGGCGCGTCTCGTCCTATTTGGGACTTGTCAGCTGGATGTATCTGTATCGCAGAGTTGATCTTCACTTCAAGATTCGAACCCAGTACCGTTCTCTTTAAACGCCATCACCTTATCCACTTAGCTACTGAGTCCTAATAGCCACTTGCTTGTACAATGAAGTTTTAAATTCACTTGGTGTTGTTTACTTGAATCTTCTTATTGATGTCTCTTATTAGCATATACACGGTACTGGGTTCAAGTCTCAGAGTGAACATCAACTCTGAGATGCAGGTACATCCAGCTTACGAGCTCCGAATAAGACGAAACGCGCATCCTGGATTCCGCTACTAACCACTACCCATCTTTGCCTGTATTGCTTGTGACTTGAAGCAATATCGAGGCAGTTCGTACAGGATGCACATGTGTCAACAAGAGACTGATCAATTGCAGTCCTACATAACAATGGTAAGAGACAAATAAACAAAACCAAGTGAATTCAATACATCGAGGTTAATAGATTGATGTCAATAATAATAATAATGATAATAATGCTCTCTTTGTTTAATACCATAAACTTGATCCTAGGTCAGAAATTTCAACATATAACCTGGGAAATTTCCATTTTATAATCGTTTAGCTTGTGATCCTTAAATATATATAAACTTTGCAAGCCTTGATTAGTTGCCCAATATATTCATCCATTGACATTTGTGTCCTCTTCTCATTGACAGTTCCTTAATAACCAATTTTTGTTTATCTAAGTAAGCCTTGATAGAAGAGGTAAATATATAAACTATTGTAGTGATGTTGTTTGGTTCTCTTGGCAGATGATAGATTCATGACAAGTTACCAATGTTTTATGAAAGCATGATAGTACTTATGGTTGATAGACATAATTTGTCATAGTAGACAGAATCATTTAATTCTGTAATGTTTTACAATTTAATGTTTACAATATGTGAAAATACATTTTACTTCGATGATTTTTCTAGAGTAATTTCAACAACCACAATATACTAGTTTCACCGTATTCAACTGTTTAACCATCTTAACACTGTCTATTGTTCATTTTTCTGTCTACAGTGACCGTGATCAAAACAGAATCATCAGTGTATGGTTGTGGAGATTATTAGGTTGAGTTCATGAATTAATTTATGTGAGACCATCATTGAAAACCTGGAAGTACTGGACGGCCGTTTTGTCCTATTGTGGGAGTGTCCAGCAGTGCGCATCTACGATCCCGCCTGCGGGATTCGAAACCGTGACCAGTGGAGTTAATTCGTGTCGTGTAGAGACAGGTATCTATTTCAGTACAATGAAAGATGGTCGCGCAGACTCGCAGACTGATCGGTGTTAGACATTAACACTGTTGGATGCCGACTTAGTGGTCTAGAGTTTAAACAGTCGCGCGTGAGACTGAAGGCTTTGGGTTTGAATTCCGTAAGATGGATCGTGAATGCACACTGATGTGGAGTCCCACAAGGGAACAAAACGGCCGTCCAGTGCTTCCAAGTTTTCAAAGGTGGTCTAAAATCAATGGATTCATGATCTCAAAACAGAATCCACATTAACTAATAATTATTTAAAGACATTGTCACATCAATCTCAACTGATAATACTTCATATCAATAATAAAGAGATTCCTGTAGAAAAAACTATCCTCTAGGTCTACTCCTTGCAAACAAAAATAATACTGAGGAGTACTTTTAATCCAGATAAAACTATATTGATAGATTCCATTTCTTATAAGGTTTAAATACTTTTGTGGTCAATAAACCCAATATACATTTAGATATCACGTTTAAAAGAAGGACAAATAACTCACCATGATTTTATATGGATTAACTAAAATACAATAAGATGGTTGCCAAGTTTGTATGATTCGAGAAATTAGTTATTTATGCCGTTTTGTTCTAATATGGGATTCCTAAGTGTAGTGCATATATGATTTCATGTGTGGGAGCCCTACACTAAAATAAAAAACGGATTTTTGGTACTTTCAGGTTTTCAGGGATCATCTAATATTGATTGGTTTATGGTTTTGATGAATGTTTCAGTATGAAGAGTTAATGATCGATGGTGGTATTTAATCGATTTATTAAGGAAGAAAACTTTTGAATATTTTAGTGTGCCAAGAGACATTTGATAGGTATATTTTAACAAAATGATGAAACTAACAGTCTAGTTTTGAAAATGATAATCATCAGGGTTTTTGTTTGACTATTCCTAACTCCTTATTCAGTATCTTTTATTCATACCTGAACATATCCAAAACTGAATAGATTATCTTGCTTCGGAATTTCGTCGATGGAAATAGTTATGAGCATTAACATGGTTTACTCTCAATAGGTTAGCGTTAATGAAGTTAAATAGGCAGACAATAAGGATCTAACTCGGTGAATAAATATTATGATAGTTACTAGGGAAACTAAAGGATTTGGGTACGATCCCGTATTTAGTATCACGTGTGCAAAACAAATGACTTCCTAAAGAAATGAAATAGATTACAATGATCAATAACCCCAAGTAGAATTTACCGATTTCCTTATCAAATGACACAACATCAGAAAGACTAACCAAGTATCATTTTTATTTTATGTTCCTTATGTTCCTCGAATTTAAGTGGTCACAAGATTATACACGAATATACGAATAAAGGCAGGAGAAATGTATCAATAATAATAAATTACAAAGTATTTATATAACTCAGATACAAAGCTGTCAATCGTCTATTTGCATCTGTCGGTGTGTTCTGTCATCTGAATACTTCTCGTCTGGACTCTAATTGTTCTACCAACTCGGTGATTTCAATGCACTCCGTCTGAAAATCGTTACAACTTCAACGCTATGTTCCGCTACACACTACTTAAAAACATCCTTATGAGTAGCGTCCACCACATTAAAACTTTGAAATGTAATGCTGAGTAACATTTTTATAATCAATTAGGTATCAGTTATGAAAGGCAAAATATAACACTACAATGAAGGAATGAAATGAAGCCTAGTATTATGGAATACAGCTCAATCATCATAAATTAACCGTTTAGTAAATACCTATAAGAAGCAAGAATGTTCGACACAACACAGCATGCATCAATCAAATCACACTTGAGAGAGAAGCATTGAAAGATGTAAAAATCTTTACATATCTGAGCAGCATCATCTGATGCAGATGCGAAGACGCGGATCGCCGAAGTAAGAGCAGCATATTCACAACTGAAGAACATCTACAACTCAAAACAATTGCCTTCAAGTCAGTATTTCTAATATAAAGTCAAAATGGTTCTACTGTATGGGGTGGAAACTTGGAGAACTACGAAAGCCATCATCCAGAAAATACAAGTTTTTATCAACAGTTGTCTAGACAGAACACTTCGGATCTGTTGGCCAAACACTATTAGTAACAATCAACTGTGGGAAAGAACAAACCAGATTCCAGCGATGGAAGAAATAAGGAAGAAAAGCTGGAGGTAGATAGGACACACATTGATGAAAGCACACAACTCCGTCAAAAGACTAGCCCTCACATAGAATCCTCAAGGTCAAAAAAGAAGAGGAATACCAAAGAACACATTACACCGAGAAATGGAGACAGATATGAGAAGAATGAACAAGAATTGTATAGAACTAGAAAGAAAGGCCGATGACACAGTGAGTTGAAGAATACTGATCTGTGGCCTTTGCTCCATTGGAGATAACAGGAGTAAGTAATTAAGTATAAGAAACAAATATAAAATTATTATACTCAAAATAGTTTTCTCAACTTTACAATATACTTTTTCACTAGTCTTTCTAACAGAATATATTTATAAAGATCAATTATTCAACAACTATCATTGAATATCCCTTTATCAGTTATGATATCATTATTAAATGTGTTAGGATAGTCGGAAAAAGAGACCAATAATTATCATGTTAAGTCCAATGGTGTCCTTGAACCTTAAATGTACATTTCTTATTGGTCGATGTTTATTTCACTTGTTAAATATTTTGTAAATGTTGTTTTCTATTTTATGGTACGATGTGG